GGAAGACCCAGGGCCCATCCAGTCCAACCCCCTTCTTCCATGCAGGAAATGCACAAAGCACCACTGGCAGATGGGAATCCAGTCTCTGTAGTAGTAATAGTAGTAGTAGTAATAGGAGCAACCCCAGAGGCCACCCAGTCCAATCTCTTTCTGCCATGTGGGAAAAGCATAATCAAAGCACCCCAACAGATGGCCACCCAGCCTTTGTAATAACAATAGCAGAAACCCCAGGTGTCATCCAGTTCAACTCCCTTCTACCTTGCAGGAAAAACACAATCAAAGCACCCCCTGAGCAGTGGGAGGGAAATAGGGTTTTGGAAGCAAGGATGGTGAAGGGGAAAGGATCTGGGCAGTGAGGAGGAAAAAAATGGTCTGGGTGGCAATGACCACCAAAGAGCATCACAGGAATTGTAGTTCGGCGTTTCTGCTGCTACCTCAGAAGACCCCCGTGGGTTGGAGGAAAAAGCCCAAAAAGGCGCATCTGGCTCGTGGGCCACAGTTTGCCTATACCTGGTCTAAAGTCTCCAATAGGCTGTGGAACTTCAGTAGGTCTAGAGGAGGAAGAGGCATATGGCACAGGCTGTAAAATACTTTATGTCTTCTACATCAATACATGTTTTCTACATCAATACATGGAGTTCCTATGTGCCGTTCAGCTATATTTTGCCTATAGTGGTTTATTACACGAATGCTATGTTTACCATGTCAGAGAAGGAACCAGAATTTCTAGTAAGCGGACAAGGAAGGGTCCATGCCAAAGGACCAGAATAAAAATCAGAATCTACTCCCTTCTCGCCCCATGAAGAAGATAACCCTACTGCAAAGATGAGACAGGGCAATCTCCGCGTCTTTAAAAGCAATTTCAGCTGAAGAGGCAGAGCAGAAGTCTTTTGCTCAGGAAAACTGCTCAAATGCAACAAAGGACTCCTCGGGAGAAAAGAGCTCCTCTTCTCACCACAAAATTGACCTTCACCAAACATCTAGGAGCTACATAGCTTAAGCGGCTAGAACTTGAAAGTTTCATAACTAACTCGGCATTTTAGTTACTCTGGATATCAAGCTGTAAGTAAGGAGCCAGCATGGTGCAGTAGTTTGAATGCTGGCCTATGACTCTGAAGACCAAGGTTTGAATCCTGTTCAGTCATGGAAACCCACTGGGTGACCTTGAGCAAATCAGTCAGCCTCCTCTGAGCAAATCTTGCCAAAAAAAAAGCTGATCCGAGTCCCTATGTTAGGAGAAAGGATAGTTTAAAATATATATAATTGGACAAATAAATAAAGAAAACCCTGAAATAGGTCCGCTTGAGGGCACATTACCATTATCATCTCCACCACCACAAGGTATAGTCTTCCACAAACAAGTTCAGGATATTGTATCTCTTTTTTATTCTGCACTGCAGACATAAGAATAGCCCACATTTTATATGTCAACCATGCAAACAGATGTAACTATTTATAAAACACAGGATGTACTTACAAATGGATGGGTAAGCCACATAATGCCCACTGACAAGATGTTCCAAAATAACACCACCACAGCACAGTTGGTTAACCCAGGGTATATTATAAAAGAAAATAATTCCAAATAGGCAACTTTGATAATATGAAATTCAAATGCATAATACTGGATTAAATATTGTCTCTTCCCTTGCACAGAACCCTTTATCAGATATTTACAGCTGACTTAGATGATTGATACCAAGTTTTTCTCCTAACATTGCTAATACAGAAAAACACACAGCAGCTTAATACATAGAAATGACATGTGACAGGGTTTCCTAAAACATTTCTATTTTGGACCTCACAAGCTAAATTGCTTTTGCTGGCCCCTTCCACCTCTCAGCATGGTTGACAGACAAATTGATCGAAACATTGGAAAATAATATCCTTGCAAAATTTCTCTGGGTGAGTTTTCACTCTTTTGAATTTTTCATACAAGAACAAAATGAAAGATTGCCTTCTTGATTTTTCCTCCATTATGTGTCCCAATCTTATGTAGTACAGGAACATACAATACTTCAAACAGCTACAATACATTGTAAACAAAATGTATAACATTTTTCATAGCACACCCAGGCTGTATGGAGTTAAGAGGCTGGGAAACAGCCTCCTTGCCCTATAGATTATGTTTTTCAATTATAATGAATTCATACATTTGAAGTTGCCTTAGGGCCTCTCATTAGACTTAGAGGTATTTATTACAGGAAATATTGCTTGTATCATTTAAGAAGCAAGATGGCTAGATGATTTGATTAGAAACGTTGACAGCTGAGGTGTATAAAAATGCATTCACACATTTTTATATATTTTAGTATTGGGATCCTTGTTTTTATGATATTTAAACCTTTCATGAACTTTATAATATTACTCTATTGGCCACCCACCCTATAGTATTCCACACATCTGAATGTTCCTCAGTTCACATGCTTTTATTTAGAAACTCAACAATATCATTATGACAACTGAAGTGATGTAAATTTTATGCCTCAAGTAAAAATCCAACCTTGCATTTTAATATATAGCAAGTGTACCTATCTGTACTAATAGAAAGAACTACCCATGTATACACTACATAGTGGAGAAGATAGTGCTATCATCTTTTAACTGGTTCTATGTTCTGTAGTTCTGATGCCACCAACCCTCGGGCTCTCACAGAATTTTTAAATTAGTTCCCTATTACTGTATATAGTAAAGACAGAATCTTCATGCATTTAAATTCAGACCTCATGAAAATTCTTATTAACTAAATTATTTTCCATGGTACTGGCGAGTCAAGAATCAATGAATAGTCAATCTCTTTTGGCTCAAATTAAACATCATAAAAAGATGTGATAGCCCTTCAGCAACACAGAATAAAAATGGGTACATGTAGGGTTTTTTTTTTTTAAAAAAAACAAACATGAAAACAATTTTACTGTAGTTGATTACAGTGTGATTAGAACTTCTTAAAGTTCTAAAGTATTGCTTATTTATTTACTGTATTTTTACCCCACTCTATCTCATTCCGAAGGGGAAGCAGAGCGACTTCCAGGTTGGCAACAATTCAATGCTACAAGTACAATGTACACCATATATTAAAATCAGTAAAAAAAAAATTATACACGTAATGACAAATCAATATAGTAAGATAAACTGTTAAAACAACACAAAAAAGTGGAATGCATCACCTTCATACTTCTCTAGCTATCAAACTACATTATTTGTTTTGCTGGACAGATAATTGATTAAGATTTTCGAAATAGAAGGAAAGTAAGTATCCGAGACAATGGTACTTGACAATATGAACCATGCTCGGTTTTTTGACTACTAGCAAGCCAAAGTTAAACCACAGCTTCCTTACATGATTGGAAATTGTGATTTAAACAAACCATGACAGGAGTGCCAAAGTCAGCACATGAAGGGGGAAAAACCTTGTAGGCCTGGAAGACAAAACAATAGTTCATTAAAGAGAGGTGGTTATGTACAAGCTGGCTTTAAGCCAAACCAAGTGCTTTTTGGTCAGCTTCTACGTTACCTCCTACCTCAGACACCACAAAAGGAGGAGATCTAGTCTTCTAATTAGAAAGCTTCCTATGGTATTAAATTCACATTTGTATTTAAATTCATATTACCATAACTGACTCAGGAAGATACTTTTTATAATGTTCTTTAAAATATTTGCAATTGTTAAGACCTCTTACACACATTTCTTCTTTAATCTCCACTATCCAGTATTATCTTCTTAACCTATTTTAAGATCTGGCATTCGCTGGGCGAAAACCAAACAAGTCAAAAAAGCCCCACTTGATTGATTCATCAAACAATGAACAAATAAAGTTACATACCGTAAAAAGAATGTTCAAGCACTTATTACTTTAGAAAAAAAAACCCCAAAAATATCTTAATCAAAATGTGCTGTGCAAAGAATTACTTCACATGTGAAATGAAGATTGTAAAAATTATAATGAATATTATAAGTTACCAATAAATGTGAACTATTTCATTTGGATTTTATCCTAAAATTCTATGGTTAGCCTCTAGCAACAAACACATTTTAAAATGGTATTATGGGCCATGTTGTAACAACTATTTAAAAACAGAGTATTAAATGTAACTATAAAAACGAACTTACTGTCTTCACTGGGACATTTCGGACTTGGCAGTTATTGTCAACGATAATATACTCCAATCAAATATTACTAAATCAGTATTGGGGAACATGTTCCCAGGCTTCAAGTTTATCAGTTTTTAATCAGTATGGTCAGTGTTGAGGAAGAATGGGATTTACAGTCAAACAACTCTGGAAGGCCACATATTCCCCTATGTGTTCAGCTCTCACTGACTAGACAATGTATGATAATTTCTACAGTCCTTTCCCAAAATAAGGTATCACCATGCAAGCCTCTATCTCCATCAAAAAGAGATCAATTTCCTGATAATGAATAATAATATTTTGTTCTGCAGTTCCATGGGTAGCTGAGCTCTACTGGTTTAGTGCTGGGTCATTCATGTTGCTTCAGGCTCAAGGATCCTTGGCTCAGATATTTAACATCTTGGTATCATAGGCTACCATATCTACATATAATAATGCTCCTATGGTGCATCATCCGCCATCTGAGTTCATATCTAGGTGACTGATGGACTTCACAATCAAGACCCTGCATTATATTTTTGGGGTTAGTATAAACAGATGTGGCCTGTAGGTTGTTCAGGGCGATATGCCAGCAGTACGAAGGGGCATAGCCAAACCAATGAGATCATCTCCTTCTCTTTCTGGCATCTTTTTTTCCTTCCTTCCACATTGCCAGATGGATGGCTTTGCTTTCTGTTAATTCAATATATGTACACAAACATGGTTTCATGCTTACAATGGTTAAAAATAGTGTGTATAAAATGACCTTCAGACTATTGACCTTGTCGCATTAGGCTGAGGGTTCACCACACATCGTGGCAAATCCATGGGGTTCCCGGTGAGGGGTGTGGAGCACTTGTTGCTCCACACCCCACATCACATGACTTACCCCAACCCTCCATTCCATGCGGGGGGGAGTGTCACTGTGTGCTGCATCCTCTTCTCTTTCACCATGGAGCCCAGTCGGAAATTGGTGTGCGCCATGGGAAGGGCTCTGTGGTGAAAGGAGAAGTGGCATAGGATTGGTAAATCTGCCCATCTGATGAGGTCGTATGTGTACAACGTATTCATCTAATGATCTCATTTAAACCATATACTTTTTAAATTATTTCTGTATAGTGAACCCAAGTACAAATTACATAAATAACTCAACATATTGCATTCTAACTATTATAGTGAACATCTACATCTAAACAAATGTAAAATGCAACACAGAGTTTGTTTTGGTATTTGTTAAGGGCAGCTGCCCCCCAATAAGAATTAAAAGGCTGGGCATCCCTTATGTGAAATATTACAGACCAGAAGTGTTCTGTATCTTAGATTTCTTTTGGATATTGAAACACCTGTATTTACATATTCCTAAAAAATGAGATACCTTGGAGGGGGAACCCAGGTCTAAACATGAAATTTGTTTATGTTTCATACACCACTCTATACATATAGTTTGAGGGGAATTTTATACGTAATATTTTATTAATTGCATACATGAAACTGAATTTGTGTACACCGATCTAACAGAAAGCAAAGGTGAACCTATCTCAGCCACCCATGTGGATAACTTCAGATTTTGGATTTTTTTGAAATTTTAGATAAGGTAAGTTCTTCCTGTAATTCAATTCTGTACGTTTAGTTTTGTAAGCACTTATTCTATTTTTTCCTCAACTGTGTTTATAACCAGCTATTCAAAATTACTCATTATATGTTTCTAGAAGAGCATGAATTTGAAGTGTTTTGACTGCAATAGTGATGCCTCTTGGATATTCCGAAGACTGTGACAATTCTCCATTCCTTCTTTTGTATCCCCATATGAGCTATATTTGCAAGCAACAAAGTGAAAATACAGACAGTGCAGGCATTGTTTTGAAGGATAATCATACCCATAAAAACTCAAAACATACCATGCAAACGCTTCAACTATGTAATTGTGTGTGTGCATGTGTGCAAATTATTTCTAAATCTAATGAACCACTCACAAAAAAGCAAAACAATTGCAATATAAGAAAAAGAAACACACATTGAATAGGGTTAGTTTAAAACTCTGAGTGTATGGAAACAGCATAAAGCCACATATAGAATGAAACAGATCTAATGCTTTTAATTTAGAAATGGTTAATTAGTACTGAAAGACACATCACTTAAGAATCGTCTTCCTCTTTTTTTAAGAATGGAGAACTGTTTGTAATTTTTTGATACAGAACTATCAGTAGCATTCTTAACTAAAGGAATGACAAATACTAGAAAACCTCTACAATTTGGCTTCCGTATCTCTGAATTGGTATTTCAGTGACAGATGTTTGTTGCGGCAAAAACCTCTGTCAGAACAAAATTAGGTGATCTATCATTTTAAGATATGGTCTTCATATACTGTTTACTCGAAGATATCACTTGCCTCAAGCCAATTTTGACCAAGAACATTTTGTGATATGGAAGTGATTTGTATATCATCATTTTTGTGATAAATGTAGCTCTTGAACACAAAATAACCTACCATTCCACAGTATTACAGTTAAAACTTCTACACCAGTAAATCTGTACTACTGCTTTTATTACTACAAACATACTGCATCTGGACTCCAATGTATTTTCCTTTTTTATTTGTTCAATAGCAAAGCACATTTGCCTGGCTTTAGAGGAGAGAACCTCTCTTTTTTAAACACTGGATCTGACTTTACAGATGTCAAGGTATGTTTCTCCCATTTCATGGACACATCTGAGTCCATGGACTTTCTTCATAAACATACATTCTTCTTTATCAATGTAAATAAGTGGGGGAATGTATGAACCAAAAGAAGCATAATAAAGATATACACATTGGCCACTCTGCCTCATTTTCAAATGGAAGGTTCGAGGAATTAGGGATATTTAGCAAACTGTAAAATAAATTGCCTAAAGTATTCCAGAATTATTTAAATGTCAAGAGTGACTTGAGAAACTGCCAGTCACTTCTAGTATGAGAGGACTGGCCGTCTGCAAGGCTGTTGCCTAGGGTATGCTTGGATGCTTTACCATCCTGAAGGAGACTTTTCTCATGTCCTCCCATGAGAAGCTGGAGCTGACAGACAGGAGCTCACCCCTCTCCCCAGATTAGAACCACCAACCTTTTGGTCAGCTGTCCAGCCAGCACAAGGGTTTAACTCACTGCGCCACTAGGGGCCCCTTACAGAAATAATTAGGGCAGCCATATTCAGTTTGGTCCCAGGGCCATATTTTACTTGCTTCCTGAAGGTCAGGAGGGAGAGGACTGACTTGATTTCGCTGGGGAGGGAGTTCCATAGCCAAGAGGCCACCACTAAGAAAGCCCTATCCCTCATCCCCACCAACACCTGCGAAGGAGGTGGGACCGACAGCAGGACCTCCCCAGATGATCTTAATCTCTAAGATGGTTCATAGAGGGAGATATGTTAAGCTGGGACAAAACCTTTTACAGCTTTATACGCTAAAGCCAGAACTTTGAATTGTGCTCAGTAGCAGATGGGCAGCTACTGGAGGTGACGTAACAGGAGGGATGTCCTCTTTCTGTATGCTGCTCTATTGAGCAGCCTAGCTGCTGCCCGTTGGACCACTTGAAGCTTCCAAACAGTCTTCAAGGGCAACCCAGCATAGAGCATGTTGTAGTAGTCTATACGGGATGTAACAAGAGCATGGACTGCCATGGTCAAGTCTAACTTGTCATAGTACGGGTGCAACTGGTGCACAATGCTCCCCTGGCCACTGATGAGATCTGGTTCTTTTTTTGATAAAAGTTGAGGTACAGTATTTATACTGACCTGTGGATAAGTTGATACAGGTTTTAGGTGTCAATTTCTGGACTAAAATTTCTAGATTTATATTAAAGTCTACATTTCAGCATTTGGAGCACAGAGAACGCTTCTGTTACAAGTTTTCCAGATACCTATATTAGAAACCTGTACAAAATCGCCAATTCAGTTTCTTAAGTGATTTTTGCATTTGCCTTTAAAAAACCTAGTTAGATTGCCTGGATGTATCTCACTGACCAGTGAATAAATAACTGTATTTATTCAGAACAATAGGTCACTGAAAAGAAAGCAGAGTGGTTAAAAAAATATGAAAGGTCACATTGTCAATTAAACTCAAAATATATGGTATTAGATCGGAATATCTCCAGAGGACAGCATAAAGTTCTCTTTTACTAACTTCTGTCTAAATTTCTGGTGTATGCATGCATACAAAGTAACCTCATATATGAGATAGTTCAACTGATAACCAAACACAAATTGCAACGTACACAATCTTGCCAAAATTATTAAGCTTGGAAAATCCAACAAGGATCTCCGAATGAATCCTAGATATTGAGTACAGCAAGCAGTACAGGTTATGACGGATAACCTCTTCCACTGATGGCAGGCAGCAAATCCAGTCTTCCATTGACAGAAATCTTGACACATTCGCCATCCAAATATTTTCAGTGCATTTTCTGAAAAGGGACAATAAAACTTCTCTTCATGTTACAGAAAGCTAAATCAGCTAAACACAATTCCAATATGCTGTCTCCACTTACAACTCTAAATCACAAAAAATATAAATAGTTTATGACCATCTGTACATTATCTATACTGATATTCTCTTTGGGTTTTTCTCTTTGCCAGGTCTATGGGAGGGGAGCCACACTTTTACATCACACATTGTAATCTTGGTGTTGTTGGTGTTGTTCTCTTCAAGTTTAACTCATGGTTCAATGTGCTGACAATATTAACAGGTAAGGAAAGAGCACCACAACATAGGGACAATTATATAGATGGGGCGACATAAGCACTTATTACTTAGTACAAAGGGGCAGCAAATCAGCTTAGTGGCAGGTAAACAAACCACAGAGCTGATCCAGGATAGAATAGGCCAAAGCCACTTAACATGGCTTATGAGCACATTAACCAAAGTTGTTGCGAATCAAGGATAAGTGGTCAGTGTAGAACCATCCAGATAAGGTTTTTCCTGAAACCTCCAGTCATGAGACTGTGAAAAAATAGCAATGCTGGGACAAATTATTTTTCAATACAAAAGACTAACAATTCAAGTGATAAGAACAGAGGTAATTCTTGGAACTCAGAAGCCAATATTTGTAGACATCTTCCCAAAATATTTTCTTTCTAACAAAATGAAGTTCAACGGGGGTAAATGCAAGACACTTCACTTGAAATGGAAAGATACAGAATTTGGGGGGGGGGGGGTTGGCTTGACAGCAGTATGCATGAAAAGGATCTTGGAGTCTTCGTGGACAACAAGTTAAACATGAGCCAACAATGTCATTTTAATATTTGAATTTGGCCCTGCCCACTGTGATCATTTTTAGTGTTTTGATGGTTTGCTTTTATATTGTGGTGTTGCTTATTTACATTGGTTTTGTATTTTAGGTTATTTTATTTTCTGATTTTCTGTTGTGTTTTTGTGTTGTATTGTGTTTACTGTATTAACGGTTGTTGCCTCATGTAAGCCACCCCCAGTCCCCTTGGGGAGATGGTGGAGGGGTATAAAGATTATTATTATTATTATTATTATTATTATTATTATTATGATGTGCCAGCTAAAAAAGCCAATGGGATTTTGGGTTGCATAATTACGAGAATAGTATCTAGATCCAGGGAAGTCATGATACCCCTCTATTCTACCTTGGTCAGACCACACCTGGAATACTGTGTTCAATTTTGGGCACCGCAATTTAAACAAAATGTTAATAGGCTGGAATGTGTCCACAGAAGAGCGACTAAAGGGCATGCTTCACTTTCAGAAGAGGAGGAGAACAGGAGACATGATAGCTATATATAAATATGTGAAGGCAAGTCATAGGGAGGAGAGAGCAGGTTAGTTTTCTGATACCCTGGAGACTAGGATGCAGAGCAATGGCTTCAAACTACAAGAAAGGAGATTCCACCTGAACATTAGGAAGAACTTCCTAATGGTGAGAGCTGTTCAGCAGTGGAACTCTCTGCCCCAGGGTGTGGTGGAAGCTCCTTTGGAGACTTTTAAACAGAGAATGGA